CATCACATTTTTGCAAGCAAACCAGCTTCTTTCTGAATACCCTGCTCTCCTAACCTAGAAAATGAAGGGACCTCTGAATTGCTACGCACATCCAAATTCCCACAAGAATCAAAGATTCTCACAAAGACATTGAGAACAAAGGCAGATAGTTATGCAAAGCCTGTCTGTTGAATTATGCCTCCTCTGGAGCATAAGAGAAGGAAAAATACCCCTAACAACACTATTAATAAGACTTATCTTAGTAGGGGCGCAGGCAACAGTGCTTGGGGAGAGGAACTACCTGCTGACAGCTTGTTAACAAGACTTGCTGCTCATTTGTGCCTGCTCACAGCTCAGAGCTTATGCTCTTCTAATTGGTGACTAGGTAGGTTGAAATGAAGGCTAGAAAGGCTCAAGTTACATAAGCTTTAACCTTTTAGCTAAAATCACCTCCATCACCTTAGCCTGAAAAGTGCTCAGGCAACAACAGAGCGAACTGCAAAATACTTAAAGGCTTGATTTTTCCTTGGCGCTATAAATTGGAAGAATTTTTTTCATCTCTGCTCTGACTGGCTACCTCTACCAATTAACTCATTCTCTAAATCACAACCAGCAGAGGTTGAAAAAAAAAAGAAACATATAAAACAGAGTCAAACACCAGCTCTTCCACCTGCCCCAGGTATGATCTCTTTTTGCCAGGGGATGGTGTAGCCCAAATCTTTTACACGTGGCACTGAACGTCAGTCCTTGGCAACACTGGGGGCACTAAAGAAGTCGTACTGCTTTCACTCACACACACAACCAGAAATGGAGGAAGATCATCCTCCTGCAGCCCAACATATTCTGTGGGGAGCACCACGGTAGCTAAAAGCAAGCAGATTAGCTCTTGCCCTTCGTCCATGGAGCCCTGCGCTTCCACTGAGAAACGATACAGAATTCTGCTTCTCCAGCCATCTGGAAATTTCTGGGACATTATCTGTCTGCTTTTGAAGGAAACTTCTTTGTCAAGTTCTAAAATAACTTCTTACTTTTTAAAATGTCCCATTCTCACAAATCCTGTAACGGATAAGTTGTGCCAAGAAAGTGCTTTCAAATAAGGCAGTCTTTACAGTAACACACTATCCCTTTCGAAGTCATAATTTTTCTTGACATTTATGTTTCTTAACAACAAAAAAATCCTCCCATTCTGCATTTCCCTGGCATAGAAGCCATATAGGAAGAGCAATTAAACTCTCAAAGTTCCAGCTACGAAAGATGATCATCAGGTTGACTAATAAACATTTTAACTTTATGGCAATAGCTTTAGGAAAGCTATTATTCGGGCTCGGAGAAGGTGCTGAAACATGGGCAACTCAGAGCATGCTGTGGGTTTATTCAACAGCTGAGCTATAAAAATCAACAAGGTAAGTGGGCAGAATACAGTATACAAATGCAGCGCCCTGTCACTTTTCTCTTACCATCTTGAACTAGGAGTGTGGCACGGGTGGCAGCACCTGTTGAGACATACAGTCCCACAGAGTCACAGAACAGATGAGGTTGGAAGGGACCTCTAGAGACCATCTGGCCCAACCCCCCTGCTAAAGACATCTTAATGTATTATTTAAATACATTATTTAAGATGTTGAGAACAGTGACTTACAGTATGGCTGTAAGTCACTATGGAGTTTCCATATATGTTTTTGTGAAAATGTTGATGAGTTAGCGATTTATTCAATAAATCTATTCTATTGAATGAATACGTCTATGTAAAAAAAGGTCTTTTTATAGAGTTGTACAGAGATGTTCTCACTATTTCAAGCATAGGTCTCTTAATAACTAATTATACCATATGGCTTTTCTCTTTAAGAAAAAACAAAGAAACAAAAACCCTGGAAGACATCCTCTATAAATTACTCATATATTTGTGGACCTGCTTTGGACTTGCTTTAGAAAACTGTCAAAACAAATTTCAAAAGGAACTATTTTATCCCAATAATTTAATTCCCGACCAAAATATTCTTCCCTGAAATGCTTATATTAATTGCTATTATGTATGCACTTAATTTATTAGATTTAATTAACCTCTTAAATAATATTTTGAGAGTTCATTGCTGAAGAAAGATCTGCATTACTGTGTTTTTTTATAATCTTTAAAAGGAGAGTCTTTGGCCAGTGACAGATTAGTTCTTCATACAGTTCTATAAATATTCATTTTTATACCTCCTCTCTATCACTTGTACAGTCAGCAACCACATTGCAAGACGGGAATGTAAATTACTCACAAAGTTAAACTTCAGAAAGGTTATTCACAATTATTTTCTGTACGTGTGTGAACACAGCAGCAGGAAGGCCTGCTATTTAAAGTTTCTAACATCTCCAGGATCTAGCAAGATCCAAAGTTATAGTTCACAATTCCTTTGGCATTTCTGATTCTAACCTTGTAAACCCGTTTTTGCACACTCTGGGTATACCTGTACGTTGACTTGTTACTGTCCGTGTATTTGTCTCTCACAGCACCCAAGGCGCTGACCGTGCCGCAGCTGCTGCTGCTGGCACCGCGCAGGCCTCGCCTCGACCCCACGGCGCACGCGGCATCGTCACCCGCGTCGCTCTGCCCAGCACACGAGCCACAGAACCCCCGTGAACGGCAGCTGCCAGCGTGTGACTAAGCAGCTACCAACCACCCTCCCTCGTACGCTGGGAACACAATGTTCAGTTCTCATTCTCGTTTTCGTTATAGAAAGCTCACTGTCGACTGTTAATGATTTCACAGTAGTTCAAAGCAAACGGAGCAGTAGCCATGTTCATAGCACTACATATAGGGGGGGAATCATGCATTTGAAACTTATTACTGTGTTTTTTAAAGAAATACAATGTTGCACGTGTGGCATATATTAGGGGAAAAAAAAACTTGCAAGTATCACATTGTAAAGTTCTCTACAGAAATAGATTTTTTTTCTAAAAATATCACTATCTCTTTGAAATTCCTAAGCAATAAATAGTCCTTCATACCTTCAGCTATACAACATAAATTAACTAGCCATGGAAAAACTTTCATGAATCCAGTAGGTCATGAGCCCTTAGAAGAGTGGATCAAAAATTGATCTGACATTACTTCGCCTCACTGCACTGCAGAAGGCTTATACCTCTTACATTTCCAACAATAAATATTTTGCTTACTCTACAATTATTTCACTAACAACAGGACGACTTTGAGAGATTTTCAGGTACTTGAAAGAACATAAAGAGACATGGTAATGGCCTCTGCCTGCTTCACTGCAAGTGGAAGCTCTACAGCCAAAAATATTGACACTTTCAGCACGGAAAAGTAATTGCTCTGTCAGGGGAGAACTGAAACTTGTATACAGTAAATTCTAAATAAATCAATGATGTTGGGAGTTTTTCTGAATAAACTTTAAGGAAGCCACCATGTAAAATGCATTTGCCACACTACTAGCCACGGATGCAAAGCAGTAATGTAGTTTGGTTGCCCTGCATTCTTTCATGATTTACAGTCTGGTAATTTTCCTTCTTTTCTTGCTATGTAAGAAAGAAGCATTTAATCTATCTTATAACGCTATTTCACTTGAGGTGAATTGCAGTTTTCCAACAGAAGGAAAGTTAGTCATGCATACAATTTATATTAGGGCTTATGGGAATTATTTTTGCACTGCACGTAAAATCTACAATTCTTATCTTCAGAAAACTTGTCTCATGGAATAAAAAATAAAACATATACTAGAAAGTACTGATAGGGGAGATGCATCTATTGGCTTTGAACAGAGCTCTAAAGCTAAGGCTTGTGTACAAACTTCATCTGAATTCAACAGAACACGTGATTCTAAGATTAATCCGTATGTCACAAAGGAACTAGTTCTTATGTAACATGCAAGTGCTATCCATTTCTGCTCAAACTTCACATAAACATAGCTTTCTTCTCCAAGTAACATTATGTTTCAAGGTCACAAAGATAGTAACATTTAAGAAATGCTGTTATCTTATGTAGCATCTAGTCTATAGTACTGCAGCTACTACTAACAGCCTAGTCCGGACAAACAATATAATTTTGAAATAACCTGGCAAGTATTCACGTGATGGCAAAAAAGAAGAAAAAAGTCATGAATATATATATTTATTTTCAGAATTATGAGAAAAGGGAAGCCTAGCCTATAGCTCCACCCAGAAAGTCATTCCAGAGAGCATCCAGGCCAAGATGTACAGAACAGGCTGCAACCACATGGGTCGTGGTTAGTGTCATCTGAGGTGGACTGGCTGTGTCCACATGCATAACATTTGGCTTCTAGATGTCACAGGGCACCTCTGCGACCCTAAGAAATTAATTTGTGTGTGTTCTTTAGTCCTGAGCACTTGAAATAATAACCACAGTGCTGCATCAGTCCACCACAGAGATGTTTTAACAACACGACCTTGAGCATGTGTTTCATGCTAAGATGAAGGCCATAAGGATATGATAGCACCCAAGGGACACTACTACTTCTATAGCACTGGAGAAGTGGGTAGAACAGAGCGAATAAGATTTGATCTACTCACTCATCTTTTCATCTCAGGTACAGAAAACTGGTTTATTCTAAAAGCCGAGAGGGAAGAACTAACATAGACATAGACATTATCAGAAGAGCAGGACTAATGGGTGAACTGGGGGGAGATAAAAGAGGCTGTGGATGACCACCAAAGACAGAACTGAAAGTTCCTATAACCTCATGACTCTATTCTAAAAAATCATGTTTCTCCCTTTCCCCCTTTAAGAACAAATATATTTTATTACCTAAAATGAGCACATTATGAATATTCTGCACTATGTTTGTAACTACAAAAACAAACAATAGGAAATTAAGTAAAAAAAATCACTTTCACTTGCATTTACTCTTTTTGTAATCTGGGAAAACTGTATGAGAACTGTCTCCTGATAGAACTCTCCTTCTCATGGCAAACACATGGAGTGCCTGAAACATGCTATGATTATCAAGTACCACAATATCTTCCATATTTCCTGAACATCGTATGAGAGTAGAATCACTCACTGCGGTCAGTAATTATTGTTCTGGCCTCTTGATTGCTGGTCTTGTTTTTTAAATTTTGGGCTGCAGTTATGAGTTCATCCAGCTGGGGACGTCTTTGCTCCAGATCCTGTAGTATTGCCTGGTTACACACAAACGAGAAAAAAAAAAGAGAGAGAGAAAAAACACTATGTAGAGCTGTTGAGAAGACGATAAGACCATGCATAGGGAATGACATCTTTTGCAATTTGATTTTAAAAAAAAAAAGTTTATTTGCTGTCTCAAAAAGTATGAAGAGCTTGGCTTAAGCCTTCAAAATAGTCATTAGTCTTTATATGAAAATCAAGCATAACTTGAAATAATCACTAAAATATAATGAGAAACCTAAAAGCAAAATAACAATATTTTCTCATTTCTCATGCAAGAATAAGCTACTTCCCTCTACAAAATTATAAAAGGAACACTGTTCTCTTATATACTCTTAGATTTTACAATGTATAAAGATATAGGAGTTTACATTCTTACCATACTACAAGAGATTTTTTCTAGTAACTCCTGAAGTCTAACCAATAATATAATTTTCATTTCTTAATGTTTAAAGATTTTTTAGTTACTTTTTATTGGTTTAAAGTCAACATAAGACTAGATAGATTAGATATAATGAATAAGAACTCAAGGAAAGTATGGCATATAAGATGCATGCAAATAAATCTATTAGTTTAATCTATATTGAAGGATTAGGGAAAAGCAAACAAGGAATCAGTTCAATGGTTGCCCAGATAAGAATCATTCAAGCATGTATTTGAAAGGCATGGAACAAATCCAGCAACTTTAAATCCCTGTCCTTCAGTTTCCAGAAAAAAAAAAGATGCTAATTAGTTTTTTCCTCACTTAGAAGTTGTATATATATTAAGTTATTAAAAAGCGACCTATCCTGCCCATAGTTTTGTGCCAGAACAGTATGCTGTCAGACAGCTACTAGCTACAGCATAGCTGCTAAACAAGCTAACATGAAAGGTCAGTGCAGAACATTTCTTTTTGGGATCCTCATGAGGACAATGGGTAGAAAATCAGTTATATGCTCACATATTTATAGACTATGTATGTGTTTTATTGGCCTAAAAGTTATTTTTGTTTGTTTTTTCCTTCAAATGCTTTTATTCTAAGTAATCATACGTTATTTTAAAAAGGCGCTACTCACTGACTGCTCTGCAGCAAACAGAACTGTAGAATCTGATCTTGAATCTGGCCATCTAATCTGTGACTAAAGTTACGTAATTTCACCAAATTGAAGGTGAGAAGTGAAAGGCCGAAGGTTGTTTTCTGTGGAATAAGGCTAACAAAAGAACACGAGTGCATCACCTCCAGTAACTACAGCCTGCTCATCAAAAGAAGCCTCCTCAGAATTTCTGTTCTGCTAGGACAGAAAGGAAGGTAATTCTCAAACACACATAGCTATAAGCGTGTGAAATTCTTGCCTTTAGACTTCAGCATCAGAAGTTCTTGTAAAATCTGTTACAGCTGGCTTCCTAAACTTGTGCCCCAAAGCGTTTCAACTTGCACCGGAATTGGATTGCATACAGACACATGCAGTTAAATCACCAGCTTTCATGATTAGAGGAGGAACAAATTTCCTATTAGAAGTGTCTGCTACTGAAAGCCCCACCTGTATTTTCAAAAGGTCTAAAAGGACATTTTGAAGTCCTTATAGCAGTATATGTGTGCTCTCTCCTTTCAGAGAAGCAGTATATTTCTCCTTTCTCTGATTCAAACACTCTGACTTAACTTGGTCAATTCTAGTACAAGCACTTAGTAAAACTACACTCCACATAGAAACCCCAATGGAAGCTTCAGTAGAAATACCTGCTAAAATACATCATTCCTGTGTCCTTCTGTGATCCTGCAGCATAAAAGTAAACAGCGAACACTTAAGCTCTACTGATCTTGAAATATTATATTCAGAAATATATTCTACAATAGGATAAAATAATCATGCAAGCTGACTTCATGTGTAATGAAAATATAAATTATTATATGAAAAAGAGGCATGTTTTAATGAACGCAGGTTTAGAAACCACAAAATTTTAGCTTGAGAAAAAAATATTAAATATTAAGAGTACTTGGTGAAAATCATCTGGACTTCAGAAAATGAATCAGAGGCAATTCATATATTGAGATATCCATAAAAAATTACAAAGGTATTCAAATATTTATTGTTATAAAACTGCATCCTTAAGTGGAAATTCAACGAAAACTCTTAGAAGACACTGTTGCAACAGTCAAGGGAAGAAAAACTCATTAATAGAGGCACCTTGGTGGAGGCACAGCAGATGCACCAGAGCAGATGCCTCTGACTCACAAAGCCTGCACGCTAAAACAAATCTTCTGGGTTATTTAAAATTGGATAATACAAAAATAAGACACTTCTTATGAAAGGATTTTCACGAGAAGTTAAACAGAAATCCATCTATCTAGTCCACCTCAACACACAGAAAACACTGGTACAAAGACTAAGGGAATCACAGACACTAAAAGGATTTTTTATTTTATAAACACCTATGTTCTTGTCAGATAATATGCTTTTATTTTCACTTATCTAACATTATGCAAAGGTACTAGAATGTGTACTGCAAATATTTTAATCTATAAATAGCCATAATAAACGTAGTTTAACACGACTAGATCAACAAAGAACAAGGATCACTGTAATCCAAGGTCACAGAAATACATCTTTAAACCCCCAAAGAGTATCTTTGTCTTCCATATACTTATTAATGCCAAGATAACAGTACATGGTGACACCATCACAATGGAGAGCTGAGATTCAGGCATCAAACCTGTCTTTATTTTTTTAGAAAGTGGTGTTGAGTCAGTTCCAACAATCTTTCCACATCTGCGGGCAGCAGTTGCTCAAAAAATATAATAATAATTTTTTAAAAATCAAATTTTCAGGTTCCTAACTTTTATGGCTTATTTACACGAAGGGAGTTGAAATAAGGAACAAATTGTTTAAGCCAGCAACTGAAATAACTTGTATAAGGACTGATAAAAAAGAAATTGAAAATAATGAAACAAGTGAAATGTGAGAAATACTTGGTGGAACTGTAGGGACTATGACAGCAAATTAAAACATTTGCTAGTTTTATAATGGATATCATGCTGCAAACGGAATACTTGTCACCCGCCAAGTGTGCTGCAGCTTATATAATCACATGACCGCTAAAATCTCTCATTTTTTTCATATAGTTTTATCTTGACTTGATAACAAAAAATATTAAATTGGAATATCTGAATTTCCATGTTGACATTGAGCCTTAAACATTCAACTGATCATTTGCTAAAGCTGATAGGACTGCTGGCTATTTAGTATCAGAAGCATCTTTTCTTACACCACAAACATGATTTTGCTGCAAGTCAAATGTAAACAAGAGCTAAAGCTGATGCTCCATGACAAACTTTATGGCTGCACCTGTCTCTACATGTTTCTTCAGGAAGATTCTGGGCCTGTTTAATTCCCGTTTTACGTAAGTTTAAGTTGAAAAAAATGTATCTGAAAACAATGGACTCAAAATACCATAAAAATTGAAATATTGTTGGATAAAGTAGGTCCTAAATTTTCTTTTCAGGATGTATCTATCTCACTGGTCCTCCTGGCAGTAGTAATGATCATGTCTTTGCAGTTTTCTGAAGTATTTACATGCTACCACACATAACCTGGTATCTATTTTCTGCCTTAAAAAAAAAGTAGAAAAGCTAACCATCATTGAGCCCAAAGGTGATGCTTGAGCAAAAATGAAATTTGTAACAGACTTGCTGGATTAAGAGCAAACTAGAAGCACCATATTGTTCTAATCAACACAGGGCCAAAGCCTGAATCTTCCCAACTGGGGTTTAGCTTGACTCACCATCAATACTGTGTAATAAGATGATCAAGTGCACCACAAACAACCCCATGGACCACAAGAGCAATCCCTGAGTTGAATAATGAATATGGGAGGGGGAGCAAGACAGACACATTTTTCTTCTTCTTCACCGCTTCAAGCTTGTAGTTCCACTAAACACTTTTTGAGAAAATGGTATGTTTGATTTTTCAAAGACTGTAGACTCTAAATCTCAAATATAAATGCAATCATCTGACCCAATCGATTACTTCATAAGCAAACTTTATAGTCATGACAACTTTTACTTAATTAAGATTGTGTTTACAGGCTGGATGGTTCTCTAAATATAATGTGTTATATACATACCTAGAAAGACAGCAAGCTTTGGAGAAAGGCTTGCTTACCATTTCAGAAAATGTAAACAAGTAACACCTACAACTCATCTGCATAATGAAATTGGCTTTGTTAAGTTATTCCACCCAAGCACAATTTGAAATTTGTTTCTCACCAGTAAGCAGGAACAGAATATGAGAGAAAATGATAGCTTACACACTCTCCACACTTAAAGACAAAATTATGAAATAGCAAAAGTAAGTAATTTGACCTGGCCCTATTTAAGATTCTCTTTTAGCTATTAAATTGTTTTGTGTTTTCCCTACTAAGCGCATATAATCTTGTATCCTTTTTGTGACAGTCAATCTAAAATAATATTGGTGGTATGAAAAAGCTCTGGTGTGCTGAACAACTGAGAAATTTTGGTTAGTATTTGGAAGTTACGACTGCAAAATGCTTTATTACAGCATGCTGTGACTGCACGCTACGCAAACCAGAGAGAACTAATTAGGAGACTAATTAGCTTGGATCTCCGGGCTTTGACCAACAGGGTGTGGTGATGACCGAAGTCAGGAGAGGTCTCCCCTTCTATCCCCTTGTGCTGCTGCCCTGGTGTCTGCGGAGAAGGACTTGGAGAACCACCACCACCCATGGGGAGCAGGCCCATGAGACACGGGGCCGACATTACCCAAAGGTTCTCCTGAATCACATCAAAGCAAGGTCCCTATGGAAACAGCATTCAACACAGCAGAAGAGAAAAAAATGGCTTAGAAATCTGAGCTCACAGGGATCAGTCATCCTGCTCCAGAAGCACACGGGGCAGGATCTTCTTCTCATCCGCAAATAGGGGAGTCAGCAAGGAAAACCACATGCAACACAGGTCAGGCGCATGAGTGTTTTTGACGGTACAAGGAATAGTCTCCCTGGG